TACTGACCCTGCAGTGACTGCTTGGATGAGTCCTTGCAGTTTTCAAGGCAATTGTTTCGGAAGTGGTTTGCCAGAGCCCGGCTGGCGAGCGTGGGAGGCGGGGTTTCCGTTGCTTCGCGCCCTTTTCGGGCTCGCGCAGTTTTTCGCGCTTACCGGCAGCTGCTCCCGACTCCTTTTGTAAGGCGCCGCCAGCATTTTTCCTCCCACCAGAGTGAGAGTCCCCATTTATCTACTCACGTGAGTTTTCGACCTGTTGGGTTAACAGGAACTGGGGAGGAAACAGCAGCTCACCCTGTTAAACGCGAAGGCTGGACTCGAACCGCTGAAGCGTCAGCCATTTCTGGCCAGCAACTTTCAGCGTCATTATCTTCATTTAAAACAAAAACCCCCAAACCCTCCAAGACGGTTCTCAAAATGGGTGGCTACAGAGCCCCTCTGGAGCAGGTCAGAAGAGGAAGTCTGAGGACGCCTGGCGCTTCCAGATGCTTGCGAGACTTTATGCACCTCCCTCCTCCTGTCAAACCAAGCCAGAAAGTTCTACAAAAAGCTGAACCTAATTTTTCTCAGAGGGTGTAATTTACACGGAGAACAACATTTAGCAATTCTTGATGTACAATTCGAAAACCACGCAGAAGATACTGACTGCTTCCCAAGGAACTAATTTCCACACCAAAACCTTAGGACACTCAACGTCCTCCCCACCACACCCATTTGGGAAAAAAGAGGATGGTACTTCTTGCTCTTGGGAGAACACACACACACACACACACAAACAAAAGAGCCAAGACAGCTGCTACTTTATCCCCATTTATTAGCTTTAATCTAGGTTGTAAAAAGGTTCCAGGATGAGTAACAAGCACTGACCTATCCGAGCATCAGAGTCACAGGTAGGTTTGGGGACATTCCCAGCAGCACTTTGGCCCTCCGATGGGTCCCGATGGGTGCGGCCAGCCGGCTACCCCTCGCCCTGGCTGAGAGGGTGTGGATGGAGTCTGAGGTTGGGCGTGCCAGCAAGCACACCAGTCTCCAGCAGGGAGGGGCCCAAGGTGCCAGCTGTGCCAGTGGAGGGGTGTGTGGGTCACAATCTCCTTCCCCAAGCTTGGCCAAAGAAGTGTCCATATCTTTGCCTGGAAATCATCAAGGCTGGGCAACCAAGCTGTGATGGACGACGACTTTGGCAGCAGGCTTCACTCTGGAAGACAGAACGGGACTGCTCCTGGAAACGGGACTGGCGATTCCTAAGTCCTGGTGGAAGAACTACGGTTTTCACCGCAGAAACCCCTCCCTCGTCCAGGGGATCATCCCAAGCAGCCCCTTAGCCAGAGAAGGCCAAACTCCTTCTGCGGGACTTCAGTTCGCTGCTGTTGCCTTCGATCCACAGCCATGTTTCCTCTCTGATGTAATGCGTTTGCCACAAAGCACAGGCACCACCCCAAGGAGATCAGGGCGCCGTCCACCCCGGGGCTGACGACCTCGGGGAAAGCCAGCCAAGGGCTGAGGACTGGTGTGCAGGAGGAACCGCAAGAGGCAGCCCGACAGGCTCACCAGCGTGTGAGCCACAAAAACGCCAGGTAGCCTCTCTCCCCTTCTTTGGGGGGGGCCTTCTAGGCCACTGAACTGGAGCACAGGAACTTCTCCCATGCCTGGCGTTACTCAAGGGGAAATGCAACCAGTTCCAGAACCCTAGTTGTGACTCCACAAGCAGAGAGGCCTCTGAGTTTGCCCTGCCCGCACAATCCTGGCGAGAGCTTGTGCCTTCCAGCCTGGTCTGGCCAAGCGGTGACTCCGGGGAGCAGAGGAAGAGGCCCCTCAAGTCCGTTCCCCCCGAACCAAGCAGGGGCTCTTTTCCAGAGCGCACAATGAAAGTCTTCCAAGTGCCGTGTTCCACTGCTCTAACCCTATCCTCTCGCAAGCAAGGGGGTCGTGATCCACCACGCTTGCTTCCTGATGTTCGGCCTGTCTTGCGTTGCCATCTTCAGGGCCTGGAGGCACGAGTGCACTGTGAGCAGCCCCTGTTCTCGACCGGGTGGAACAAAATCCATCCTTGCGTGTGAGCCCAATGGGGGCGGGGCCCACGTGCACGGGGAGTGAACAAGGACCATCCACCACACTGTCCTTGGAGGTCTCCAGGCGTGCGACCGGCATCCTTCACTACTGCTTGCAGGAAGAAACGGGCACTTTCTCCCCAACCGCCGCAGGGCAACGCCAACCACAGGAGAGCAGGCCCTGGGAATCTTCTGGGATGAGAGAGATGATGTCACAAGGGATAAATAGAACTTTATTTAAATAAACATATCTCAACATCTTTGTACAAATTACAAGTCCCCATGTCCAGATTCTCGGCCGCTGCCAGATTTAGGCTCCAAAGCTGCCGGTGGGCCCTTTCAGGAGGTCGACCAGGATGTCCAAGAGCTGGCTGTGTTGGTGATGGAGATCTCCGGGAATGGCTGCCATCTCGTAGCACAGGCAGGTCTCCACCATCCTGGAGAGCGCCACCCGGAAGTCGCGGAGGAGCCGGATGGTGTAGGAGTCCCCTTCAAGCACCAGCAAGTCGCTGTCAACCAGGGAGATGGTTGCACGCCAGCCGTCGTCTTGGGGAAAAGGACAAGGAGAGGTTAAGGCACAGTCCTCGAGGAGGCAGACAAGCAGCTGCATCTCACGTAATGGCCTCACCTGCAGCACGTGCTATTGCCTCAAGTCTCTGTTGCAGTTTCTCCACCGTGGCGACTTTAAGACATGTGGACTTCAACTCCCAGAATTCCCCAGCCAGCCATGCTTCTGGGGGTTGAAGTCCACATGTCTTAAAGTTGCCAAGGTGGAGAAACACTGCTGTGTTGGAACCCTCCTTACTCTGAAAGTCCTGTTTCTTATCCCTTTATCCTCAGGATTATCATTTTCCACATCTGGTCACTGGATTTGCGACTGTAACAACTCTGGCTCAGATTTTTTATTTAGCGGCAATACATCGCTGCATTAGAACCGTCCCAAGGCTGGACCGGACCCTTGCCCATCTAGTCCAGCCCCCTGGGTCGCCCAGGTGCCAAGTGGGGCTTGGAAGCTCACGAGCGTGACCTGGAGGGTGAGCGCCTTTTCTGCCATCCCCTTCGAGCCACCAGCATGTAAGGAATGTGGCCTCCAGCGTGGCGGCCTCCAGCATGGTGCAGCAGCTCAGATCGAAGGTGCGACCTGCACTCCGGATAAAGCAAGGCGAAGGAGCTGGGCAGAGCAGTTCTTCCCTGCCCTCTGGAGAGCTGCTTCCGATGCACCCGTGCAGCTGGAGGAGCTCTGGAAAACCCTAACGAGGAGCACAACGTGTGGATGGGGAAGACAGAGGAGGCTCCAGACAAGGAGGAGGGGGTGGAAAAGCTCTTTTGGGTGACCTGAACGACTCAACTGAGGCAGCAGGAAGAGAGTCCGATATTTGGGGCACGAGGCCTCGACTGGCCCAGGCAACCACGGCCACATTCTCTCAAACAAGGGAAAGGGACGGATTCCTCACCCCGCACGTGTACGTCCGTATCTGTCATCAGCAGCACTGCCAGTGGATGCACCTGCGAGGAGTCGCGCACGAAGACGCCCCCATTGGACTTGACCGCCATGAAGTAGGTCAGCCAGCGGCTGTAGAGCTTGGAGGACTCCCTGGAGGGAACAACGAGAGGTCGTCTCACCACTGGCCTGCAGCTCTCAGCTGGCCAGCAGGAGCCCCACGCAAGCCCAGCCCTCCCACCTGTTGATCGTCGACTTGTGTAAGAGGACGGTCCCTGCCTTGGTCCGGTACGTGTAGCTGTTGGGTTTGAATTTGCCCTGCCTGGTCACTTTCCCTTGCCGGACCTGCGGAAAAAGGGAGAGTTATTAGTGAGAGCAGCAAAGAGAGCTTTTCCCTCGGGGGACACAGGAGTGGCCCTCCAGGCCATCCTTGAAGGGGTTTCTAAAGGCAGCTCTCCGCAGGAACCCCCTGACCACCAAGGGGAAAAGAGAATGCCGCACCGTCTCCCAAGATCCCTCCGGAAGCTCCAAAGGACCCCACTTGCCACAGCCTGAGGACCTCCCCCCATTTGTGTGCAACCCCCTGCGTTGGGCTTTGGACCAGGCCAAATGCCAAGAGGCAGAGAACGGGGGACCATCCTGTTCCTTTGGCCTGCCAGGGCTAGGAATGGGAATCCACGGGGTCCATCAGCAGCCAAGGCCCCCACTCCTGCAGGGAAGGGTCTCTCCTACCTGGATGAGATTGGGGTACAGCCCAGCCATGAGGACGCCCTTCACCAGTTCCTCTTCCTCGCTGTACTGGTTGCACACAGACGAGGGCAAAAGGCAATCCGAAGGAGTCGGTACCAGGTAGGCCTCGTAGAGGTTCTCGGAAAACTGCTTCACGAGGCCTGTGGTGGCAGAGACACCGGGGCGCTCAAGCCTGGGGAAAGGAAGCCCCCAGCAGGTCCTCCCCAGTTCCTTCGGGGGGAAGGAGAATGGAGAGGGCCTGTTCTTCTTTTCACCCCCAGGGCTGGGGAAATGGCTCTCCTGCTTGGCAAAAAGGAGAATTTCTCAACCCACAGACAAAGTAGGAAGCTGGGAAAACGAAGCCCAGGGAGGAAGCAGGATCACCATTTTTCAAAAGTGCATTGGATGAAGGAAAAGCTAAGCTACTCTCCAGGACGTGAAGCAGCCAATTCCTCCTGTGCATTTTATGCCTGCAGACTGCTTCGGGGATTACAATGAATCCAGCACACAGAAAAGGCGCTGGGACGCTCCTTCATTGTCGCAGAGGGCTCTGAGGGGGGTGGGAAGCTCACCGTTTATGAAGCGCAAACTTGGGGCGTAGAGGGAGTAATCCTGCAGATAGTCATCGCGGGCACGACTGTCCCTGCGCCGCAGGACGTCTTCCCAGCCCGCAACAGCCCTCACGAAGGCCAGGTGATCACTGCCACTCTCTCGGCTCAGCACGGCCTTGGCCTAAGGAAAAGGAGCACCGTTGCAAAGCATGGGGGGCGCCTCCCGGTTCGGCCAGCAGCCCCGCCCCTCCGAGCACCCCGGCAGGGCTCCTCACCTTGTCCACCTCCGTGCGGTTCTGCAGGCTGCTGCTGAAAGGGTCCCGCGTGAGGCAGGAGACGATGAGCAGGAGAGGCTGTATGCACCGGTAGATGGAAGCCAGCACAATCGCCTTGGCCAGCCGGGGGTCCGTGGAGATCTGGGCCAGGCGCTTGCCCAGAGTGGTCAAGGCCTCCCGGTGGTCCAGCACTCCTGGAAGAGACTCAGCGTGAGCGAAGCAAGGGGTAGAAATGGAGGAGCTGGGCCATTCTCCCTGGCAGTGGGGCATCCCTCCCTGCTTGCCTGGAACTCACCAATCTCCTGCAGCAGGATCACGGCCTCGTCCACAGCTTTGATGTCAGGGCTGTCCAGGGCTTTGGAGAGGAACTCGACGGCCTGCAAGCCAAAACCACGCACAGCATGAGGATCAGTCCAGGAGAAGGCGCATTCCGGCCCTCCTTACCTAACCCTCTGAATGCTCCTTCGGGATCAGCAAGGAAGAGGACCTGTTCACAAAATACTTTAAAGCATTTTCCAGGCTCAGGAGCAGCATCAGCTATAGAGTTTGAGTCTGCAACTATGGCTTAGGCAATAGGAAGATGGTCACCTGTTTCAGGCATCCTTGGCATAATTCAAACACGGCATGGGGGGAATAGATTGGCAGGTATTCCCAGTTTTTGCCCTGGACTGGCAGCGTCTGCCCACAGGCTCTTGGACACTGGTAGGGTACCTCTGGCATTAACCAATTCTAAAACAGCAGAGCCTTGCTCAGACCAGCTCTAGGGATACCATCTGTGCCATTCACACTCAGAGCTCTTAGCTGCTCTGCTGTAAAAGACCATAATGGGGAAACGGCAGAACAGAGGCGGCCAGGCGGTTCTGGCAGCAGCGAGGCAGGCTTGGCAGGCGCTCCACCTACTGTCTTCTCCGGTTGGTGGATCTTGGTCTGAACCACCAGGTTCTCCAGAGGGGTGCGCAAGATTTCAGGCACTTGAAAGGTGGGCATTCTGTCCAGGCGGCTGCGAGGAAAGAGGTGGTAGGCAAAGCCCGACTGGCAGCGGCCGGCCCGCCCTCGTCTCTGGACGACGTTGGACTTAGACACCCAGACGGTCTCCAGGCACGAGACCTGCAAAGAGAGGAAGCGGACCGTCTCGCCCACCGCCTGACCTTCTGCCGGTTAAGCATCTTCGGACCTGGATGAAAACCTGTTTGGGACCACGGAGCCCTGGGACGAAGCAGCCCAGGGACATTGTGCCCCAAGCCCCTGCTGGTAGAACACCACCGCACCAAGCAGGCTGAACACTCTGTGGGGCATCTCGATGTGAAGTCATGCCCGACAGCCCCATGGCCTGGGGCCGCAGAAACTCTTCCAAGGCAAGTGCAACACCTGAGGGTTGCTCTTAGAAAGCACCAGTGGGAGGAACAAAGCATGAAGGCCAGAAAGGATCTCCTGGCCACTAAGAAGCCCCACAATAACCGTTCCTCCTCCCACAGGTTCCCCAGCACCCCTGATCTAATCAAAGAGATGTGCTGGGGAAGAACAGCCGCCACCTCTCTGAAAGGGCTGGGAAGCCACGCAAATTAGAGCCCACCAGGCTCAGACCAACCTTGGTCTTCAGATCGTAGCGTTCCTCCTTGTGGGTCCCACTGTCCACCACATGCACGATGTCGTTGATTGTGATAGAGGTTTCGGCAATGTTGGTGGCCAGGACAATCTTTCGCACGCCAGGAGGAGGACGTGGGAAGATGTTTTGCTGGTCCATCATCGGGATATTGGAATGAACTAAAGGGGGTGCACGGGTGGGAGGAGGGAGACGGAAGCAACCATTAGCATCAGGCCCCCGTTTTCCCCAACGGGACTCGTGACATTCTCAACTTTTCTAGGAACTGTCGCGGGAGGAGGCTGGCCTGGCACTCTCCGGAGGCAGCTGAACTCCGGTTCCCGGTAGCCCCAGCCCCACCCCAGGGAGCAAGGGATGGCAGGAACAGCCTCTTCACCTGGCAAGATGAGATAGCGGCTGCTGTGGGATCCAAGGATTTCCATGAGGCGCTGCTGCGTTCCTTTGATCTCTTGCCAGCCCGGAAGGAAGCAGAGAATGCCGCCTGCAAAGAACCAGGACAGGAAGGCTCGCCTGCACCGCTCGACCCTCACCCCAAGGGAGGCGCTCAGCTGCCCTTCAGACCCTCTGACCTGAGAGCTGCTGCACAGGCGTAAAGCCACGCTGAGCACCCACAGATGCTCTTTACGGCTCCCTAATTCTGTGGGTCTCTAAAAGCTCTTCCCCTCCCAACCAGAGCCCTGGCAAACCACTCCCCGAAGCTTCATTTTACATGGGATGTAGCAACGGGATTCACAGACTGTGCTAATCACAGTTGGGTGAATTATCGGTAACTGGTGGAGGGCTGGCAAGGTTCCCCGAATACCCGCAACCCAAAGCACAGCAACTGTCTTATCGTCACACGCGAACCCGGACAGTCCGGACTGATTTCTCCGGTGAATCTGCCAGAGCTGCGGAGGGGGCGGGACGGAGACCCTGACCCACCTGGTTCTCCGTGGGCATCGATCTGAAGGACCAGGTCAGTGATCAGCTCAAGGTCGAGGATGCACTCTTCGTCTGATTGCTAGGGGCGAAAGGAGAGGCAGAATTTGCCCTGGCAGTGGAGGGCCTGCTGTAGCTCAAAGGAGATGCGGCCCTTCCGGCACAGGATTTCCCCCTTTTCCCATTTCTTGCAACAGGGCCCCCAGCCCTCCCTCCCTCCGGCCCCCTTTCCTCAGTTTCTCCTCCCCCCTGCTGCAGAGAGGCCGGCTCCCTTGCGCCCAGGGCGTGGCCCAGCTGCAGCTTCGATGAGCCCGTGAGGATGGGTGCTGTGGCCAGAGAGAGAAGCTCGGCCCTCCACTTGCTTTCTGTTGACTGAAACCTTGCAAGGCAAACTCTGTCGACACGGCTGGCCAAATCGTATTTTGGAAATACGATTAACATCGGCCTTGCTTCTCCCAGAATGCTGCTTCCTGCCCTCAACTGCAGCCAGCCCCCCAGCCTCTTGCTTGGCCATTTCCTCTCTGGAGCAAGTGAAAGGGGGACACAAGTGCCCCCGTGCAGCCCCCTCAGCTCAGCTCGCCGGAGAGCCCACCTTGATCTCATAGTGGCGATGCCGACCCAGCATGGCCAGGATCTCCTCCAGGTAGTACTCCTTGACTGGATACATGAAGCCGGGCACCTTGACCACCGGGCAATCTCCAAAGTACTGGGAGAAGCGCTGGTTGTCTCCGGTGGCACTCATCAGCACCAGCCGCAGGTTGCGATTTTGCTTCTGGATCCCCTTGAGCAGGATGAGCAGGAAGTCGGTGTTGACATCCCGCTCGTGCACCTCGTCCACGATGACGTGGCTGACCCCCTCCAGGCGGGGGTTGCCCTGCAGTTTCCGCAGCAGGATGCCCACGGTGCAGAAGAGCAGGGCTCCCCCTCGGGCAGGCGGCTTGCTCTCCAGCCGCACCTGGTAGCCCACGTTCCTTCTCATGCTGGGACCCAGCTCCTGAGCCACCCGCTGGGCCACGGAGATGGCGCTGATCCGCCGGGGCTGCGTGATGACCATGTTGCACTGGGCACCGCGCCCTTCCAGAATGAAGTGTTCCAGCAGTAACTGGGGGATGCGGGTGGTCTTCCCGCAGCCGGTGTCCCCGGCGATCACCACCACCGGGTTCTGCTCCACAGCGGAGAGGATGGCTTCCTTGTGGGAATCCACGGGCAGGGGGTGGCTATCCTGCCACAAGGTGCCCCTCCGCTTCCAGAGCGCCAGGAGATTCTGACTGAGGCGCACCTCTTCCGATTCGGACAGGGGGATGTAGGTTTTGCCCGTGATGGCATCGCTGAGGGCCCCCCCGGTCTCCTTGCTCAAGTTCATCATGTCATCTGCGAGCCGCGGCCGAGACTCTCGGCTGTCCACGGGGTACTGGGGGAAAGGAAGGGCAAAGGGAGCCCCGTGATCTGCCGCCGCTCCTGCAAGATTCCTGCCCCCCAGAAAGGCCTGACCCTGCGGTTGACGCACCGGAGGGACATCGGCTCGGCAGAGGCTGGGCTGTGATGCCTTGCCTGGTTCTCCTCCTCCCCCTGCCCAATGTCCTCTGCTTTCCCTTGGCTTGGACCCTCTGATACCAGCCGGGCTTACGTGGTTCAGGTAGTTTTCGATCTTGCGCAGCGTGGCCTCAGGGACCTTGATGTGGCAGGGCTTCCTCTGGTTCTCACCCAGCTCCCGCAGGGAAGTCATGTTGTACATGGCGTGGCTCAGAGGATTGTTGTTCTTGTCCACCAAGCCGAGGCTCTGGGAGGGAAAAAGGGCACTGTGAGGCAGCAGATGGGATGGGAGAGGGGGGTCCCCAAGAGCCCATGGGAAGCCAGGGTGGGCACTCGGAGATGCCAACGCCAGAAGAGGGGATGGGGGAGAAGGGCAGAGGGGAAAGCAGGAGGGCAGCGTTTCCTCCCATCTCCTCCCAGCGCTTTGGAGCTCGTAAAGGTGAAGGCTGTGAGACGGGCGTTCTCCGAATGGTGGTTATAAAGCAGAGGCTTGGCCTTTACCGCCCCAGCTGAGCTGGGAAAATGGCTGAGAGAGGAGAGAAGAACCCTGGGGGAGAGTTGGAATAAGCAAGAGGGAAGAGATGGTGATCAGACGACGTTCGCAGGTCACGGAGCAGAACCTCTGGAGGGACGGAGAGCTCAAGCATTCGGTATTTCTGGGTTCAGCATTATTCTCTCTTCCTGTGGTGCTTCCTCAATTGTATAGCGAGAGAAACGTGAAGTAAAGTGCAATAAATAAATAATAAATTATAAGCAGATGAATCAGGCCAGGTTTGCTTCATTCTGTATAGTATGGACCAGTTTCTCTCAACCTTGGCCCTTTAAGATCAGTGGACTTCAGCTCCCAGAATTCCCCAGCCAGCCAGCTGAAGTCCACTCATCGGCCAAGCGGCAGAGGTTGAGAAACTCTGGTATAGACTGAATGACGGCTCTTAACCTATCCATGTTAAATTTGCTTTTAAATGGAAAGCGATGTATTGCTTCATCTAATATGGCACGCACCTCTCTGGACACAAAGTACAGAAGAGGGAAAACAACATCAGGAAAGTCTGGAAGCCCAGAAAGGGGCCATTTTAACTCCGAGCCCAGAGGCAAGGGCTGAGGCAGGGATCTGAACGAAGAGGATACGGTGGCCCGGCTCGAGCATGCCTCAGGCCTGCCTGCCGTGCCAGCCACTCACCTTCAGCTTCTGGCAGGCCAGAGCGGCGGCCTTGTTCTCGGCTTCCACCTTACGGCGTCCTTTGGCAGCGAAGGTCATGGGGCAAGGCCAGCGGAGCGTCAACTTGCAGATCTTGGTCTTGGTGCCGACCGTCCGGAACTGCATGTACTCCTGCAGAAGGGCCGAGTTGTGGGGAGGGGCTGCGGTCACCCCCGCATTCCTGACCTGTCCCACCTGGGGGACCTGGCCTGTCTCCTCCAGCCCTGGGGAAACTGTCCTGCTTTGGGGGCAACTCACCTTGACGGTGGACGAGGACGTGGCAATTTGGATCACCTGGGCTAGGAGGTTTTTGGGCAGAGGAAACTGGGTCAGTGCCCGGAGGGCAGTGTTGTCATCTGTCATTTCCAGCGAGAACCCATCCCTGTGGGAAAAAAAAGGCAGGGGCTGGACTGGATCTGGAGGTTCCGTCTCCCTGCAGCCTCTCCAGGGATCCCTGGCTGCTGAAAGCCTTGCACACCGGCACCCGTTTTATTACTGGGAGCGCAGCGCAACTGGGTTGGATGTCCGCGCATTAGTAACCATCTTTAAAGGATGGATTAAGGATGCTACCTATAGACAGGCGGAGGAATATGACGGGAGGACCCTGGAGAGGGCTGGAGGCCCGGGAGACAGTGGCCCCCACCCAACCACAAGCAAAGATGTTCCCCCTGCCACCCCCACAAAAACACGACTTCCTAGCTTTCTTTTTTCCCTCTGGAGCCCACAGGGCCAAATCCCCCTCCTTTTAATTCTTCTTTGAAACAGGAAACTGAGGATGGACATTCCTAACCAACCGCTCTCGAGGGACACACATTTGAGTGAGGCTGGGGGCCACAGAAGAAGACCCAGAGCACTACCAAGCAGGTCTTTCATGCTGCCCAGGCAGGTAGGCGCTGAACTGTTGCATCACATTGCCCAGCAGAAGCTCCTGGCATTCTAGAATGTGCCCAAGATGATTTAGGGCCACCTTAGGGAGAGCAGTGGCCAAAGACACAGGCGGGCCCTTGCACCGGCTGGGGAAGATGCAAGCTGGGTGGCCTTTCTCCCCCCGAGGCTACCATGGTCCGAATAAGAGGCAGACGGAGAAGGCTCCCCAAGAAGGGAATGCTCTAAGGGCCCAAGGGGTGTTCCAGGGGAGAGGCCTCCAAGGCACCCGTCGAGACTCCGTCCCTAGTCAGCGCTCACGAGTCCCCCTGGGTGGGCCAGTGTACCAGAGGCTGTACCTAATGTCTCTGGGAGGGGTATGAGCTCCCGGCGGCGCCATGGACAGACAGTCGCTAACGTCAATGGCCTCCTCTTCAAGCTCCCCCTCCTCCAGTTCCCCCTCCTCCAGCTCCCCCTCCTCCAGCTCTTCGTTTCGGATGGGTCTGGGGAGCTGGCTGTGCTCCAGCGGGTGGACAGGCTCCTCAGGCTCCATTCGCCTCCAGCAGGTCGAAATGTCAGCCAGGGAAGGGCCGGACTTGGAGCGCCAGTGGCTTTCGGAGAACCACCTCTTGTCAGGGCAGCCCAGCTGTTCGGCAAGAATGCGGTACTTTGCGGCATCAAAAAGCTCATTCCGGGGTCCCAGCAAGCCCCAACCCTGGAGTAGGGAAAAGGAGGCTGTCAGCACGGCCATGGCAGATGAAGGGGAAAAAATACTTTTGACTGCATACGGAGGACGAGCTTGTTCTCAACACTGGCATGTTGGCAATCTACCACTTTTTGGCATTCCCAAATCCCTCCTGGTTAAGCCTGCTGGTCAACTGAGAAGGTCTTGACCCACTCAAATATGCGCAGCTTCTTTATATCAGATGAGAACGTATATCCTAAAAACTGGCCCTTCTCCCAGGCCTACTCTGTCGCAATCAGTTTCCAGCGATAAAGCTGAGATCTGCCAGGGATTGGACTCAGAACTTCTGTACGCAGAGCGTGCATCCTGCGCACAGGCCAGGAAGTTTCACAACTGGATTTAAAGCTGCAACTGAACTCGGAGAGACAGCAACTGTGCGTGTGTGTTCATGACAAATTTTGAGCAGGGGTGACAGGGAGGAAGTGAGGGACTTATAGGCTGGATTCCCACATCACATGAAGCCATCTTATTGCTTGCTTTTCCAGGCTTAATATGTTTTGTACCAATTCTGTTTTATTGAATAAACCATACAGGTAGTCCTCAAGTTATGACGACAATTGGGACCGGAAATTCTGTCACTAAGCAATGTGGTCGTAAAGTGTGATGTCACTTGACCTCATCGCTCAGCAATGGCCATCCCGTTGCCATTGTTAAGCAAAAATCACAGGTTGTTAAGTGAGGATCTCCTTGCAATTTCCTGCCAACAACCAAAGTCAGTGGAGAAGCTGGCAGGAAGTTGCTAGTCTTAGGTGGCTTGCCAGCAGGCTGGCAGGCAGGTAAGTGGGTGCCGGGTGGGAGAAGGAGCAAGGGGGTGCACGAATGGCCGGAGAGGTGTGGCACAATGGTGCTTATGGTGGCTGTTGCCAGGTGGGAGAGGGTGCGCAAGTGGCCAGGGAGGCGTGGCACGAGCACAGAGGGGTTATGGGAGAGTGGATGGGTGGGGGAGCCTTACCTGAGTGACTTGTGACCTTCACTGCTGGCTTCCTCATTGACTTTGCTTGTAGGAAACCAACAGGGAAAGGTGCAAATAGCAATCACGTGACCCCTGGGACACTGCAACCATTGTGTGAGCAGGTTGCAAGCGCTCAGATTGTGATTGCGTAACCACAGTGGTGCTGGGATGGCTGCAAATCCAAGGAGCGGTCTTAACCACCATTCATTCAGTGCCCTCGTAACTTCGAATGGTTGCTGAATAAATGGTCGTAACTTGAGGACTACTTGTAGTTAAACAATCCATGCCTTAATACTAGGTATGGATTAAGAGGGAATACATGCAGGTTGAAATTGGTAAAAAATCCAGGATTTAGGAACAGTGTGCGTGTGTGTGTGCGCGCGGGCGTGTGTTTTAAATCTCATTATTATGACCTACATGAGTAGCTTCATTTGCAAATCAGTTTTTTTTTTGGTAAAAAAGGGAATCAACCTCTAATTTTGATAAGCATGATTACCGTATAGGCCTGCTGGGTCAAAGAAGGTATCCGGGATTGAATGAACCGTTTGGGATTGTCCCAGAATAGCTGCAGGGGAACTGAAGCCCTGGAGAGGAAATGAAGCTCCTCTTCAGCGCTCTCTAAATGGTACTGGTGCCCTGCCCTGTCCCAAACAGTAAGGAGGAGGAAGAAGGCAGACAGAAAACTTTCCACTTTTTTAGATTGATACTCTAGTCAAAACTGTGGGAAGCTAGATGCAAACTGCTGCCAACCCCACCCTAAACTTTCAGGACCTTTTCTCTGATGTCTTCTGCTACTCTGTCTGCCCTCTGGCTCCAAATGCCACAGAATGTAAAAGGTAGGGAAAGCTGAGGGGCATCACCCACCCTGCCAGATGAAAAGCTTCCTGTGTGTGGGAAAAACGGGTTCCTGACCTAAAGCCAGGCTGGTCTTCAACAGCTACTGAGTCCACCCTGAGCTCCTGCCCTTCAACTGGCCAGATGGAAGAGCCACCAAGGAAGCCAAAACTGGTTCCTGACCCAGCCATGGAAGGGGAGGGAAACCAGCCCTGGCCATCACCTTGAAGAGATGGCAAGCAGCTGCTGCAGCCTGTCTCTCAGCATCGATCTTCTTGGTCCCATAGCCTTCCACTTCCACATTCTTTGGCCACTTGATGAGCAGCGTGACTTTCTGTGGAGAGATGAAGATCAAGCCATCAAACGAACTGGGGGCTCTCCTGCCCTGGCTACCTCGGGCAAAGGGAGTCCGCTCCACTCCACAAGCCACCAGCTCAAACACACCTCCCAACTATGGGCAATTCTGGTCCACAGCTGGCTCTGCCTTCACAACCTTCTGTTGAGAGCATGTTCAACCTCTCTTCCCTCTCAGGATATCAGGATGGTGCAAACCCAAATGAGATCATCTGAGAGGACTAGGATGGTGCAGGTATAATAGCTTGCAGACCAGATGAGGGAAAGGAAGGGTTGAGTTTAAATCCTGCTCAGAGAGCCAGGCTGGGGCTCTCTCTTTGACCCACTCCTCAGGGAGAAGTCAATAAAAGGCGAAACGTGCAGGCAGAGAAGGTGAAAGTGGCTTTGGAGAAAGGATTACCAAAAACTCTAACACAGAAAATAATACACGCCACATACTGCAAGCACAGAAATACGGATTAGGGGTCAAAGCAGACTCACCCACCCCAGTGCTGTTACAAAAATCTACAAAAAAACCCCCAAAAAACAAAAAACAACAAGGAAGGAAGGGAAGAGAAACTCAGAGAGAGGCCTAGAGAGCTCTAATGTAGAGAAAGTGAAGACATGTGAATGGTGAAAGTATCAGATTAAAAAGAGAGAATCTACAAAATAGGAGGAAACAAAGAGGCCAGAATAAAAGAGGAGAAAGTCTTGGACTAAATAAAAACGGGAAAGGAACCGAAAGGCTACCGGGCTGAGACAGCAAGGAGTCCCTCGGACACTCGGATGCCTGCACAGAAAGTTCATACCCTGAGCAGGTGGGGGGGCACTCTTCTTCCAGCGGAGCCAAGGGGAAACACACAAGAGAACCCAGCAAAACCGCCTCTAATGAAACCGTACAAGATACAGCAACGCAAAAATACAGTAAGAGCACAGCCCTTCCACACCCTATTGAAACCACTCATCAAGAGGAAAAGGTATCAAATGTCATAACCCAGCATTTCCGATCCAGTTTTCACACTGCCAATGGGATGCCAAACAGAGCTCTGTTGAGATCTGCTCCCGGGTCACCGGTGAGTTGAGAACGGGCCTTCCTGACTACTTTTGTGCAACTGATTCCCCATTAAGAGTTCCTTCACTCGTAAGCAGGCGGAAATGATGCTTCTGAGAAAGTGCCAAAGCATCATTACCTTTTTCCGTGGCCCATTTGTGTGGATATAGATTAGCTTATCTCTTGCATGAGAGATACCGAGGGCTCGTCCAATAACACTGTTGAGGAGGTTTTTAGGCTGGGGAAATTCCTTCAGCAAATCTCTTGTATCTGCAATAAAACATGAGAAAGATCGTATTCTTGCTGTTGCCAATCAGTCACCATATAAACATGCCACACATTCATTTTTCTCAACTTGGGACTGCGATGCCTGGGACTCCTTTAGTTGTAGCTGGCTGTGAAAGCTCAGGGTGTGCCACGTTAAGGGAGGCGGCGCTAACTTAGCGTCTGCCGTGGCTCTGTCCCGCTGCAGCAGATGGTAGAACACCGTTTATGCAAAACTTGAAATCTCAGTATTCCAGTTTGAGTCATGCGGACACAAAATGCTGGAACAACAAGTTACCGTCGCTGGGGGTGGGGTGCAATTCGAACACTGCTCACTCTAGTGCGAACTTTCAGTGTGCTCTTCCATCACGTCACTCACTCCATCCATCTCGCCCACAGATTCAGCCAGCATGCCAGACTGTTCACCCAAAAGATCCAGAGGGCACTTTCTTGCTCACAGGCCCACAGAAATGCACACCCAGGGTTTGGAAAAATTAGACTTCTGGACCCAGGGAAAGAGGAAGTAACTCATCCAATTACTAAACAGAAGGCAAGGAGGAAAAGTACCAGAAAAATATAGGACATTTCTGAGGAAAGAGTTGGTTTAAACAGATGGACAGAACCCTGAGAAGCTTTCAGGGCAATCCAAAATGTCTCTCTTCCGCACAGCCTTTCCTAGGATGATGCTTCTAGCGGGGAAGGCATATCTTATCACTTGCATCTGACAAGATGAGGATCAGGGATCTGTGGCCCAATTCTCTGGAGGCCTGACAGGGAAAAACCCGATGGGGCTGAAGCGTTCCTAATGATGTAGCATAGCTAGCTAATGCAGACCCTAGTGATAAAAGGGACCCCCAAACTGTAGCCAGGCATCCAGACCATCAAGGCCTTATGACAGTAATGTTTTTAACCAGTGACTGAAGGCCAAGATTGAGTGGGCTTTCTGGGTCTCCGCAACAAGGGAATTCCATGGGAAGCGCAAGAATGCCGATAAATCCAGGCTATCTATTCAAAATGAAGTCAGCTTAGTTGGTTTCAAGCATGCGGGCAGGTAAGTCGGAGGGAGGTCTATCAGAGACCAATCTCCCCTTATGGATTCTATGCGGACCACGTGCAAGTGCATTCCCCACGGGAACAGGATGACACGTCCACTTGTCTTCTATTTTTTAGCTATCTGACAGTGGAGAGTCCAAGATTTGGATACGCAGGCTGACCACTGCAATTAAGCGACCCGAATATACCGCTACTGATTCCACAGAATGCTGGATGGGGCTAACCCTCATCATCCAGAAGTGGGAAAAGGAATTTCTGTTAGCGGAGAAACGGTTTAAAACAGACCAGGGTCGGCACCCCAAGTGACTGCACCTTCATTAAGACGCCGCCAATCCTGGCCTCCAGGTGCGGGACTAGCGCGCGCACGCACGCCGCTCATTTGCTGGCCAGGCTCCCTGAGGATCACGGTTGGGTGGTCCAACCAAGCAAGGGGCCGCCTGGGACGCTGACCCGGATACTCGGCTCGGGCCGTGTGAACGGCTAAGGTGACAAGCGAGGCCCTTCTACCGCGTCCGTGCCGCTTTTAAGCACGACGCCGTTTCCCAGAGACCCTCCCCGGCACGGGCGCCGCGGGGAGG